ACGCTGACACACTGACAACATTGAGCTCCGTCAAAGCCTCATGCCCTGAACACCGCGCTCCCACTTCAAATGCGCGAGTTAGCCCCAAAATTACCGAGATCGCTCAACTCCACACGATCAATCATATTTTGGGCGCGACCAATCCAACCGCCACCAATATGTTTGCCCGCAAATGGGCCAAGTATGTCGGCACCAAGCTTCCCAAGACACGTGATGATGTATTTCGAAGTGTAGCCTCATGATGGAACAATTCGGCTACAGCGACCATTGTGCCTGCGACCAGAGCAGTCCCTATTTGCGCTGGTTTTAATATACGGCGTCTGTAATCTTTGAGAAGACTGTTGGCTTCAGCGTCTGACGGGGTGGTCAGTATCCTGGATCCCAGCGCACAACGGACACCAACATCTTGCTGATCCTGTTCATTTCACAGTTTGGAACGCACTGCCTCAACATCTGGAAAACAAATCGAATGACATAGAGTTATGCTTGACGACGGTGAATATCTACAGAAATACGACTGCTTTTTCCCCAAGTATGAAGAAGTGCTGCAGCTCAACCAATCTGAAAGTCAATTGTGCAACGCTTGCACTTAACTACTAGGGCGGATCACACGCGCATCATAACACGACGTCAGCTTGGTTACCATCAACACCAACGGGATCAAGAAAACCGGGCATCCCTTATCGAGCGCTTACAAACAAATTATTGCCGCTCTTGCATGAAAAGCAAGCTTCGGACTTGTCATATTTGGTACTTTCCAGTCCAACTTTCGATTTCGCTTTAGACACAAGATATCAGCCATCTACAACACTCTGATGACCTAATCGGCTCATGAAGGCGTCGCACCATTGGCGAGCAAGTAATTGTGGCTTAGAGGAGTCAAGATTGGGGTTGATTGGCGTAATCATATCGCCGAGGGCGATGAGTGTTGCATAGTCTTCAAAGCGATCCACCGAATGATGGTTTATCAAACCAGCATCGTCATGATCGTCCACTGGTGAGTACACGTTGTGGATGTACACGGCAGCATTGGCGACTAACCGTCAAACGACTGAATAGCGCCCAACACAGTCAGTTTCCGAAGTTCCTAAGGCGTGTCATTACGTAAAAAACAGGATGAGATACAGTGATCACACCGCCGGATCGGTGTGTTGCCTGTGAAACACTGACCAAACTAAACGCATTTACAGTGGTACCTGCCGCGCCAAAATCAACTTGACTGCGCTTTGTTGTCGGAATTCTTCTGCAACGCGCTGTACGGAAAATCTCTGAATGTTACGCTCGAGGGCATCAATGACCACCTGATACACACGGTAACCCTCTTTGATTTACGGGTAAGGAAACTGACACTTTCCGGATTACTTTTTGGATTGTGGACGCCATCCGTGGAAAAGCCCAGCAAATCTCTGCGCTGAATCAAATCTGGGTAAAATTGGATGCAGTGGACGAGGATCATGAGACAAACATCATCCAGAACGTAAACTTCGAATACAAACGACGCTGTTTTCTAGTCCGCGCGAGCCGCGCTAGACCAACGAACACCAAAATCCCACACCGAGTGAGACAAGAAGGCTTTCTTGATGCGCTGAATACGTCCTACGACTATGTGTCCCAGTCTCGCTGATATAATCACGACTCGGCTTTTGACCTCCAAGTTTATTCTCCCGCCTGCTCGGCTCATCACTGCGACATATTAGTAACGAAGAAGTTCGAGCTCCCGAGAGTAATATCTTACGAAACCCAGCTGACCCTTCGGCAAGCTCCCAAGCGCATAACAAACCTATCATAGGCGACGCTGGTAGTCCTACCGGACCACCACCAGTTGCATATCCTTACAGCGACAAATGCTGCGATATACAGCTTACACGCGGCTAACACCAGATAATCGTCCCGATTTTTGGGACCAAAAGTATCGATGCTTTTAGGCACATGAAATCCCCGCCCGGCATGGATAGCCTCACTGCTGGCTTCTTCTAGATGGCGCCTGATGACTTCAAGAAGTGTATGACTTTAGATTTGACTACCAGTTATGACGTGATTAGCCTGTCCTTCCTAGACACATCACACAAGCAATGCGCGCGAGATGACCCTGGCAACTCCAATCAATCTCGCTTGTTGAAATTGGTGTAACAGATTTGCCCAGGGTGCTGGATGACATAACGCCTTCGATTTTTTCTAAGCTTTTACGCGATGATCAGAAGGTTTTTGTTAAGGGTTGGTCTACGCACCATCACATGCGCCTCATAGCCAACCCGAATCTTGTGAATGCACGCACAGAGGAGCCTATGCCATGTTTCTCGATTTCGAGGAGGCATACGACCGAGCAACTAGTACTATATTCGACCGTATTGACTGTGGTGGCGCCTTCTCTGATTGGATGAATCTTCTCTGCACTTACCTCCATCTCTTGCTCAACAGTCATATCCTGCCGCCAATATTTCTCACAGAAATGCCAACCGCTTTCAGCGATAATGTCTCTTCTGATCGTTGATTCGCTGGGCAATCTGCTCCAGTAGTACAGGGAGGATGGTATTCGAATCAATAAAGACTGCAACACCGTTAGTGTCTTCTTTGCCAATATATTATTGCTGCTCTTCAGCTCATCATCCAGTATCCAGGCTCAGCTTGGCCTGGTCCAGCCGTACTGTGATAGCTCTGGGGTCAAGCTTTATCGTACAAACGTATGAATATATCAAAAATGGCGAGCTAGTCTTCTCAGCATCTCTGGAGTCAAGAAGCTTCGGCGTGGGAAGACAATCAAGTTCTTGGACAGTTTATCTGGTCAAACTTCAGTCGAAGGCGCCATCCTGGAACTGTTTGACCGACGTTTGTAGGAGAGGAATCACTAATCAATCTATCACGATCGCACCCATGCGAGGACGTCTGCTGATTGTGCTGACCATGGTGCTATCTCGGTTGTGATGACACACGATGCAAGTGCCGATTCAACATCGTGTCGGCAGGCACATTCAACCGCTACGCAAAACACCTCCATTTAATCCTTAAGAAATGGCTTTATCAATCTTGCTCTGATAGTGGTCTCTCTGTACCGAGCATCTAAGCCTTGCATGAGCGTCAGAAGCTAAACGTGCTGCTCTAATTCGTCGCTTCGTAGATCTCCGCCCAACGTAATCGGACCAAACCAGGAATCGTGCTACCCACACGGAGTCCACTTGATTTTCTTGCTGTTAGCTTCATGATTCTCTGCTCTACTGACCCAGTGCTAGCAACACGTCTATATCTGTGGTGTATGATCAACTAAGAGATCTCATCGCGAGACCTTAACCCTATCGCTTGATTCGGCTATGTGCTGAATTAGCCAATCTGCTTTCATGCCTAAGACGATTTCCAGTCTGAGCTCGCTCCTCGGATCAACAGCACATGGTTGCTGAGAGACAACGGAACTACCGCCAACCATATTGCAACGACTTCTTAATTTCTGATGCCTCGTTTACTTCTTAGACGCTGAGGGGTCACGGCCAGTTGCTAGCCATATTGACTACCGACACAGTAGAGCTTTTACATAGCGTAGTTATACAAAATCAAGACGTACGATGTAAACAATTGCGAGAATGATATACCATCACTCCTTTCAACAAGGAAATCTTCTTGACCCGAAAATTACTGTCGGTCTGCCATGGATCAAGGCGATGGACATCGAAGATACCGATACTTTGTATGAAGCAGGTGGTGACTCGCTACGTTCATTGAGCGAGCTCGTCCATACTGCTTCTTCTTCTGCGACAGGAATTGCGACAGTGTGTAAAGTTAATGCTTGCACCTCCACCGCGCAGCCTCGTACTCGACGATGACAATCCCGTCGTCCAGCAAGAGATCACCCAGCAGCAACCATGTTTGCTGACCAAAACGCCTGGCAAAAACAACAACTTTGTGTGAGCGAACAAAGCCTGTCAGAGCCTTGCCGGTCAAACGGCTGGGTTTTCAAAAGCTGGTACTATTTTGACAAGTTTGACATTCTTCTCAACCGCTTCTTTATTGATGCGTTATGTGTCGACAGTAATTGTTAGGCCGACCTAATGTTAAAACGCTTTTCGAGCTGAAAGCACAGCCTTCATACAGTACGTCCCGGGATGTAAACTTGGACGCAGTGATCACCACAGCCACTTAGTGTGCGTTATTACGTTCTAGTCGGCGCCCTTCAGAACTTGTGATAGGCTTCTGTGTGTGTGGACGCATCTGCCTGGTACACGCTAAGAACGCCCCTATACTCAGCGCATGTCGTTATCAACGTTAAATTTATGCACTCACCTAGCTGAAGACGTTTTCCGGCATTCCACGTACACCCACACCAGGTCGAAGCTATTTTGGAACGACCATCATATGTTGTTGTGATAAGTCAAGACAGACAAAAATCTCTACTTCAGCGGTCGATCCATGAAACTTCCACTAAGACAACTGTCATGGTGCCCGCCGTAGCTTCAAATGATGATACAGCGCCCAGCAAAATCTCCCTTGGCACTGAAGGCTTCCAAGTCGTATCGCCACCATGCAGTCCGACATATTCCTGGCTGCTGTGGTCTTAGTCCAATTTTTACATCAAGATCTTCCGATTTCTCGTGCGGTGCCACTCCTTGTTATTCTGACTATCCATATTTGCGCATCAGGTGGAGATGCTGCGTAAATTATCGTTTGAATAAAGTCCCTTTCACTGCTCAGATCATTGACGATATCTTATGATATTCTTCACAACAAAATATAAACTGGATTGACACTGATCGCAGCAATTTCGGAGGTTGTCAGATCACGAGCGATGACAGACAGTCTATACTGCATGACGTGCGTAGACTGAAATAGTGTTAAAGACACTTCGCAACAGGTTTAAAATGTTGAAATGCTGAAAAATTATATCGTTGATCGAATACTGACGGACTTGCTGAAAAATCATGTCGTTAGTCGGATACTGACGGACTTACTTGTTATCCACCGAGCTGCACTAAAGTGTTACTACCGCTTTGCATCTTTAGCCCACAAAACTACAACCAAGTTGACCTCTATTTATGGTCTAGCGGGACAAGCATAATGGCATTGAACCGCAGACCTAGTCTCAAAGTTGGTTGTGTGATGTTCAGGACAAGTTCGGCGAGCACGGACACTTATAGGCGCTACCAGGGTTAACGTTGCGAGTGCGGCGACAGGGAGATGAGCTTGATTTGAGTAGCTGGGGGGAGTTAAGAAGTATCTTTTATCGGTCCTTAGTTCGCTAACGCTACCTTTACCTTCTAGTCAACAACAGATTATTTTTCAACTAGCCAATCATATATCGTATATCGTACACGTGTACATTTTGCCCGCAACCACGTGTAAGCAGTGAGCGTAAACATACGCAATCAATATACCTAAACATGAGAATAATCAACCATGAGTAATGTTCTCCAAACTAATTGCGCCATCACTCCTTTAAACACTCTCCCATGCTGTGCATGTTCGATTCTCGATGTCGATTTCATATTGACAGCTTTGACAAACGCTTCATGCTTTGCTCGAGGTAATGCCTTCGTCATTGCATCCGCAACCATTTCTTCTGTTGGCTTGTACTCAATACTAAGCTCGTTTGACATTGATCTTCTTTCAGATGAATAATACTTGATGTCGACATGTTTCGTACGTGTGTGATACACTGGATTCTTCGCCAACGCAATGCACCCTTGATTATCTTTATATATTGTCGTAGGAACATTCACTTGATATTCGAGATCCTTTAGCAATTGCCGTAACCACACCATTTCTTGTGTCGCACTGTACAAACTCATGTGTTCTGTTTCAGTGCTTGATGTGGCAACAGTTGGTCGACATTTAGACTTCCACAACACAACGCTCGAATATATATGCTGTTGTCGATCGCCTTGAGTAAAAATCAGCAGCCTTACTCGCATCAGCGTATCCAATAAGCCCCTTTTGTTAGAACCATCCAAATAGATTCCATAGTTCATAGTAGTCGTGAGATACTTGAGAATGCGCTTGGCTGCTACCAAGTGACTCTTGTCATAGCGTTCGCAATACTTTGCTACTTTCACACACAGCATTTGCAATGTCTGGTCGCGTGCATGTCATTACATACATCTACGCACCGACCAACTCTCTGAATGGAAACTTGGGTATAAACGCTTAATATTCTGGCATCATTACCAACTTAGAGTTATTATCAGCTGGTGTATGTACTACTTTGCATTTTGCCACACCGAACTTCCCCGCGACTTTCTTGATATTTCCCTTCCGGTTCATAAAGAACGCCTTACACATGCGATCGCGGTGAATTTCGATGCTAAGACAGTACTTTCACTCGCTTAATTCCTTTCCGCTAAACATCTTCTTCCAGCAATGTTGAAACAGACCGTTCTCATCTTCATAGTCATCAGCGCTAAATTCGCCATGCCTCATGTTTGAGAACTCCTGTTCATAGCGCACTACAGCTCGCTGCTTGCGTATTGGACGAACCATCAATTCTTCTTCACTGTCCCTTCCTGGTGTGCTCGACCCACGTGATAGTACAGCACTATTTGGTATTTAACTTCCTGGTGTCTCTTGTGGACGTCTTGGTGGCGTGCTGTTTCTTCTTCACGTCTTCGTGTGCTCTCTTCTGTCGGTGTGGCATCGTAGTCGTGTTTATGATCCGTCATGTCTTCTTCCATGTCAATGGCATCAATGACACCTCTCTCCCTCGCTGTAGACTTTGCCGCGATGGGGTGTTCCACAAACGTAACACTTTGCGAGATCACAATTGAACCATCGCTCGCATTCAACAGCCGATACGCCTTGTGCTGTTTTGAATAGCCAAGAAAATCACTTTACTCCCGTGTCATCCAATTTCTTGCGTGTTTGCTTTGCCTCATGAGCATAGCATTGGCTATCAGAGACCCGCATATGTTTCATACGCGGCTATCTCCTTAACACCATTTCGAACGGACTTGAATTTGGGCTCGAAGCATTCGGCAATACATTGCGGATGTCCGCAGCAGTCGTCATTGCTTCACATCAATAAGACTTATCCAAGCTGCTATCCTTTAGCATGCAGAGCGTCATCTCTACTAGAGTGCGATTCATATGCTCAGCTATTCCGTTCTGTTCAGGGTTGTATGACACAGTGTATTCTTGCTTGATAGGAGCATACTTGCAGAATTATTCATCGACCCATTCATGTACTCGCCACCTTTGTCGCTACACAGTACATTCACGTATATACCGGTTCGTCTTGAGTTCATTGTAGATTTTGATGAAAGCTTCTGTTACTTCGCTCTTCTTTCTCATCGAATGTAACACAGTGTACTGACTCTACTGATAACCCGACTTGGTCTTTGGTGTGACCAGTCCGACCACATCCGAACACACAACGTCGTCGTTCTGGCTTCACGCTCCTCTGCACTTGAATTAAGCGTTTTTCACACTTGTATCGCAGTCGCACGTATACCACATGGATTTTTGGATACAATCGGCAATTCCTTGATTGCTCCATCGTTTATCAGCTTTGTTTACCGCTTGATTGCGTGACCAAGTCGACGTTTCCATGACATAGCTTTATCTTTAACCACATGACACTCATCTATAGTGTAGATGAGCGTACCATGCCTTCTACCACTTGCCACTACAACACCATTGCGATCAATACACATTTGTCGCGTGTCATTTTGTCGCACAGTTGGAGCGGTTAACGAGAACAGATTTTTGTTGAGATCTTCGACGTGTAGGGTGTTTTCCAAACTTGCATTCGCCCAACCACGTATTTAGTTTCAAACCTGGCCATTTTTTCTGTCAAATATGCAAACTTTTTAATTTTCTTTTTGATAATCTGGGACGAAATGCCAGACTACCCAACGACATTCATGTGATTGTACATTTTCTCATTACTTCACTCCTGCATCCATATGGATTTCCGTGCTGAAAGGAGTGATGGTGCATCGTTCTCGCAATTGTTTACATCGTACGTGTAAATTTTGTATTTTTATGCTATGTAAAAGCTCTACTGTGTCTATTCTACCGTGACCATGTTTAAATAAATAATACCAGAGGATGATTCTTACGATTCGAAAT